AGCTGCTCTTTATTTGCTCCCCTGAACTCACCCGCCCTCTCCTTTCTCCCTCACCTGCCCCCATCCCTGCCCCTGCCCAACCTGGGATCCTTCCCTGCCTTCTCCCGGCGCTGCCTCCCCGGGAAGCTCGGGAATTCCGTGGAGCAGGATCAGGAATTCCGTTCAGCAGGATCTCCTGGAGAAAGGACTGGGATCTCACCCCCTGAGGCTGTTGCTCCTGGCTACTAAAAATCAGATTTTTGGTGCCATCCTGACGGGTTTTTGGGGTGTTGGGGAGCCCAGGCCGCCCCTCAGGGCATCCTTTTCCAGCTGGGATGCCTCCTTTTGGGAAGTACTTCTCCGGGATGCAGGAATTGTGCATGTTCCCTGCTCTGCTTTTCCCTGTGTTCCCGGAGCTCCAGTTAGTTTTCCCCTGCACATCTTTGCCTTCAATCCCGTAATTATTAGCTTGGAAACCTCCTGCAGCGTTTCCCAGCCCAGGGAATTCTCTCTCCGTTGCCTCTCCAAGCTCTGCCTGTGTGGGAATGTTACTTCCAGTTGGAATGGGTGGGAAAATGTGGGAGGTTTTTTTGGTGCCCCATCCCAGAGCCAGAAACTCGGAGTTTCCTCCCCCAAAAACGCCCCCAAAATAACCCCAAAAACTCAGAAATCGGTTTGTTTTCCTCAGCTGGGAGGCAGATAACAATCATCCTAATTAAATGTGCAATAAGACATTTTAATTAGAGGCATCAAGCCCTTTAATAAGACAGGATTTGGAATGGGTGGCATTCCTGGGAAGCCTTTTGGTGCCTTTTGGGAGCGATTTCAGCACCACAGAGGGTGAATTCCTGGATTCCCTCGGAATGTTGAACTCAGCTCACCTTTCCCCCCCCCGAGGAAAAGCCACATAAACAGGCAAAAAAACCCTCAGCCAAAAGTGTATTTTCATCCCCTAAATTGCATCAGATTCGGGGCCGGGCCAATTAGTCACTGAAAGCCACTAAAAGAAGCTTTTTATCTTGATTTATTTTTAATTTTTATGATTATTATTTAAGGCAGAGCGTGGAAACCTTTTGTTTGTTTGCTTTTAACCCTCGTGGGGGGGGTTTTGGAGGCTCCTTTTAAAAAATAAAGATGTTTTTTCCTGGCTGTTAAAGAGGCTTTATCAGAAATCAGGGAGAAAATAAGGCAAAAAGATGGGAATTCTGGGGAGAGGGACAGGGTGGAGGGGAGAGGGGGTGAGGAAAGGTCAGGTTTTGGTGCTAAAAGTGGCTTTTTTGGGGCTGTGGTTTGTGGGGGCTCGGACACGTTCCTGCTTGTCCGTGGGTTTGGGGGATTGGGGTTTGTCCAGGGGGGTTTCCCTTTCCCTGGAATCCTGGTGGGACCCGGGAGCAGCTTCTCCCTGGGCAGGGGTGTTCCAGGGGCATTCCAGGGGCATTCCAGGAGTGTTCCAGGGGCATTCCAGGTGTGTTCCCGGTGTATTCCAGGTGTATTCCAGGGCCATTCCAGGTGCATTCCAGGGGTGTCCCAGGGGTGTTCCAGGTGTATTCCA